CAAGGAAAATATTAGAATCGGGGTGGTCCAGTTGAGACTGGAAATAATTTTTTCGAAAAAACTCAAGTATCTGTTCTTGGATTTGCAGTACATTATCGTAAATCTGATCAAAGCTTACATACACAATATTTTGATTACTTTTCTGATATTTTGAGTTATGATACATTGTTCGTTATAGACTGTATTACAAAGCTTCTTAGTTATACTTTTATGTCAAGGTTTTATGAAGCTTGTTTTTGGTCAGATTGTGGGCCTCACTTTCATTCTGCTGAATTGATGAATTTATTTTTTTGGTACATACCTTCCATATGCCAAAGAAAAATTTATTTAAATTATTTTACAGAATACTATAGGAAGAATATCGTCAATAGTCATTTTGGTGTATTATCTAGATAGTTTTTAGAAGGTGAAGCTACACGAAATATTTATACAATTGATAATTTGATTAATTTTTTTTGAGAAAAAGCTAATCAAAATTATATAAATATCAATACTTCAATAATGAACTTTGATATTTATTTGTGAACACAACATCGACAAAATATTCATAAATTATGCATTGATAATTTTAAATCATATCAATCATTTGTATAGATAAATAACAAGCTTTATGCTTCTACACTAAGTACATTAATTGATACAGATTACATAGAGATTAATTATAAAATGAAAAGTATTAAAGACAACAGAAAAACAAAATATGCACCAAAAAAACAAATATTAAATACAAAAGTTCCAGTTGTAATAGACGTAAAAAGTAGACAAATATTAGAAACTAGAATTAGACTTTTAGATAGATTTTTACAAAATATGATAATATAATATAATTTTATAAAGTAAGGTTCAAAATAAAGGTGATAACCAATAATAGCTTTGGGTCTAGTTATCTTCCTCTCATGCAGGCCTTACTTCATTATATTTATACATGTTAATAAAAAAATAAATGTTAATAAAAAGTAAAATTTTATATTATGTGTAACTTACAAAGTAGTCTGGGTTTGAAAATAATTATCCATATACATGGGATATATAGAAAGCCAATCAAGTTGCATGATCAATTGTAATGAAATCACTTATTCAACTATCTTTTACGTACTATATAATTAGAAAATTTCTTGCGAAATTTTGGTATAAATTAACTTTTGTTCAATCTCAAGCCTATCCTTACCCTAATTTTAGGCTATGCTTAATTTCTCATTCTATGCAAATTTGTTTTGATTTACATATTACACAGATTTGCAAATTAATATCTATAAGATTTAGAGCTAGATAAATTAAAGCATCAGGAAATAATTGCTAGCAATATTAGTGCTAACAAACTACTTACATATATATATTTAGTATTTAATTAAAGTCTTTAACAATGAAATATTAAAAAGAAAAAATCTCAACAATCTAAAAATAAATTTATTTGGATAACCTTTGTTTGTGTTCAAGTACTATTAAAGAAAACTAGATTTCTGGCTTTTGGAACTTCGAAGTAAGTAAATTTTGCCTTTCCTAAGATCTTGTTTTTTTTTAGTAGTGCTTATCTATGTATTAATATTATTTATGTAAAATAAACCTATCTTAATACTTAAATAAATAGATATTCTATAGAATAGATGGGCAATATAAGAAATAAGCTTTGCTAATAATTAGTAATTATTAAATTTTTAATATTGGAGTTGCAGAGTTTGCAGAGTTTGCTCACCTATTCTATAGAACATCCTCAATATGTTTATTGCTTTTGTATATTTTTAAATAAGACATATACTGTGCTTAATAATCATATGCAAAATATTTTGATTTACTAATGTGGCTCAGTCTGTTCTAAAGCCTTAGAGGATTTGATCTTCCCTGAGTTTTAACTTTCTCCAGGGTTTTAACTTTACTAGAGGTTTTGTCAGAGTTTCGCCTAGTTCATCTTTCACCAAGTTTAGTTTTGTCTTTTGCTATTTACCAAAAACAGTTTCACCTGCTAACACTAGTACCAACAACTCTAGCAAAAAATAGTGGTCATACAGATCTGTCGGTTATATATGATTTTGAATTAGATCATTAGACAATTTAGATTAAAGCATTGAAATTAATTCTTTAATTATCATTATTATTATATTATAATAAGTAGATCTCAAAATTATCACTCTTTTCAAATTACTGTGATCATTAGATAATCAATCATCATATAGAATCACCAAATTTCTTAAATTTGTGACTTTTTTTGCAAATCAATCTAAATTTCTGCTTTCAAATTAAAATTTCTAATATTCTTCTTTTATATTTTTATTTTTCACTACATCTAGTAGAACACAAAAGCTAGTTATTTGAAAAGCTGAATTATAGCAGAAATATTAGGCTTTTTTATTAAACTATAATAATATCAGATTTTTTATTACTGCAAAAAAAGTTATAAAGTATTTACTTCATTAAAACTATATTAAAAGTTATAAAAAGTCTTTTTTCTTTTCTTTTTTACTTTTTTTTTTACTCTCTTTTTTTTTATCATAAAAAACTTTTTGAAACTATAAGTATTGTAAGTATTCAATTATAATAAATTGGTATAAATTGATAATTAATTTCAAAATATTTACTTTTATTTCTAGATACCACATTCTTATAGTGAGGATCTTAAGTGGTGAATAGTTTACTTATATTATGACTGTTAATCAAAAGATGAAATTATTACTGTATTATACATAAATAAATCACTAGTCAATAAGATTTTAAAGATTTTTAAATAGTGAAGTACAGTTGTTCACCCATAGCTGCAAGTTTCTAGAGTACAAAAACATTTAACTGAAATGATATGAAAGTATATATTGAAAGATATTTGTTATAGTTTGACTGATTTAAAATTTTATAAAAGTTACTATAGGTATTTAAGAACTAGTTGTTATTAAAAAAAAATTTATATAGAAAGATGTTATGATTAAACTTTGTAAACTTGTT